CTCACTCAATCTACTCAGGTAGGAGTTTAACCACCTCTCTGAACTTGACAGGACAACTGTTGCGGATATTAACCGACGAGAATAAGTCCAATTTCACGAAGAAATTAAATGCGATCTAATTTCTATGTACATACGTAAATTACTTTATTGAAACAATGTTTGTTACAGTAGCGAATTCAATATACATATACTCGTATATGCAAACTAAATAAATCTAATTAAGCGGCAGCGGGCGGAGCGCGAATAATGAAAAAACGACGTGATCACTAGTAAATGGAGATGATGAGTAAGCAAATACAGATAGATAAAGGAACAGGTGCATAGCAAATAAGAAAATTAAGAAGTGTCAAAACGGTTAACTCTTATGCGGTGTCTCTACATTTAACCCTTATGCAAACATCTGCAACCAAACTTGTGCTATGCTAAACTGAACTCAACATACCGCCGCCCTTGAACTACCTTGATATGTTCAATACAAAATTTAAGTACTAGGTTTAGGTTATATTACAAGTTCAAAAAGTTCAAATAATAATAATAGAGGAATAGTCTTAGTTTTCCTCGCAAAATAGATCATCTTTTGTTGGGAGAAGGCAAAGCTTAACTATTGGCCGCACCAATTCTCCGTGAGGTGTTTTCAGAGTAACGACGCGTACACGTCCATCAGCTCCAGGGTGGCATTTTACTACTCGTGCAAGCGTCCACTTCGTCGGAGGAGTAGGCTCGCTGAAGACGGCGACCACATCGCCTTCCTCAATGTTGCGCGAAGAACGAAACCATTTGGTGCGTCGCTGTAGGCTTACCAAATATTCGTCCCTCCATCGGCGCCAGAAATGTTGTCTCAGAGCAGAAATCGCTTGCCATCGCTGACGGAGGTTTCCACAGAACCCTTGACCCTCAGGTTCTGGGATTGACTTCAGCGGTTCACCCACAATGAAATGCCCAGGAGTAAGGACTTCTAGGTCACCAGCATCTGAAGAAATGTCACATAGCGGGCGGGAGTTTACGCAGGCTTCTACGTCTGTCAGCACGGTGTTAAACTCTTCGTATGACAGCAACGTTTCGCCCAGCACGCGTTTCAGATGATACTTAATACGTTTTACGCCTGCTTCCCAATACCCTCCCATATGAGGTGCGGCCGGTGGATTAAAACGCCATTCAATATTTGAATCCGCAAAGAAAGATTGAAGTTTGTCATCTGAGATGCACCGTTGAAATGCGATGCGGAGCTCCTTCTCGGCGCCAACAAAATTAGTACCATTGTCTGATGCCATGACCTTACAAAAGCCTCTGCGATTTGTGAACCTTTTAAACGCGTTAAGGAACGCCGACGTTGACAGGTCACCAACAAATTCGAGATGCATCGCACCAGTGCACATGCAAACAAACGAGCAGATGTAGCCCTTAGTGGCCTTAGCTCCTCTTCCGTGGGTGAACTTGTACATGTAAGGCCCAGCGAAATCGACAGAGGTGCGGGTAAAACAGCGGGCGTAGGTTATGCGAGTCGCAGGTAGGTCACCCATTGTCTGAGCGGCAAGGTTTCGGTTTAAGCAAGTGCACTTCACACACTTACGATATACGTTGCGGATCAGGTTTCGGGCGCCGACAACCCAATAACGCAGAACATTGTTTTCATCGAGGAACGGCTGCAAACGCAAAAGGCAACTGCGAAGCGGGATTGGTCTTTTAGCGCTGCAAAGAGAGATCTCATTAGATAGATAGTGCTGTTGCGTATACCTGATTAGGCGAAGCTCAGCTGCAGACAACTCGCTGCAACTCGGAGGACCAAACCGCTTTGTAGCGTCGGGACGTCTATCATCTCGAGCGTTGGAGCAGAAGCGTAGAACGTAAGCAATGACACGTCGCAGCTTGGAAAACGACGAGTACTTCATTATTACCGACCAGTCATCGCTGGAGCCAGTCACATGGGCGCAGACGCTGCTTCGAATGCCCAACTCTGTCGTGTGCTGTTTCGGCAATTTTTGCTGCCAGGATTGTTCAGTGCTTCTCAGGAAGTTAGGACCATCCCACCACAGTTGATGATGTAGTAACTCGGTGGGAGTTATACCCCTTGAAGCGCAATCTGCAGGGTTCTGCTCGGAGCGGACATGGTTCCAACACTCAGGAGGCAGGACTTCCTGAATGTCGGCGACGCGGTTGGCAATAAAAGTCATCCATCTGCGGGGATGCGCCTGCAGCCATGCCAACGTGATGGTGGAGTCGGTCCACGCGAACAGCGGCTAGCGAAGATCAGGCCAGCTGAGTAGCACGCTTCGCACCAGTTTGGAAGCGAGATGTGCGGCGCAAAGCTCTAGGCGTGGTAACGTTGTCGGTTTTAGCGGAGCCACCTTGGTCTTCGACGAGATTAGCGCGACGGTAATGGTACCATCGCTTTGTGAGGTACGCGCGTACATAACGGCGGAGTATGCGCGCTCGGATGCATCTGCGAACACGTGCAGTTGCGTAAATGACCCGGATACTTCCGTACCGAGCCAGCGATTGACCTTCAAGTGTGCGAGCTGCTGCAATTCTATGCGATGCTCCAACCATTTCGTTGCAATGGACTCAGTAATGAGGTCATCCCAGCCTACTCTGGTGCGCCAAATGTCTTGGAACCACATTTTTGATTTTATAGTTGCAGGTGCAAGCAGCCCCAAGGGATCGAAGAGCGTGCTTGCGTCTGATAAAAATGCTCTCTTGGTCAAACTCACGGGCGGTTGATTCAAGCTAACAGTGAACGTGAAGTAGTCTCCCTCCGTGTTCCAGATAAGACCTAAAGCGTGAACATCCTTATCGTCGACGATGTAATGCGATATATTTTCAGCTGCATTAGAGATGCTTGCATTAAGTTGCGCGCAGTTCGACGCCCACTTTCGGAGTTCAAATCCACCTTCCCGCAGTATTTCGGACACCCTTTGCTGCAGCAACAGAAGTTCCTCCTTACTAGAAGCACCGCTTAGCAGATCATCCATATAAAAGTCCTTTAGGATGACATTAACGGCTCTAGCACAACCATTTGATGAATACCTTGCCGTCTGTTGCAGCGAACGGACAGCTAGATGAGATGCAGCTGCTACTCCGTACGTCACACGAACCATGCGAAAGTCTTGGATAGGCAAGGATGGATCGCTACGCCAAACGATGCGCTGCAGATCGGCATGTTTTGAGGATACGCAGATTTGACGATACATTTTTGCGATATCTGCGGTTACTGCGAAGCGGTGCGTTCTGAAACGCATCAAAATCGTGTACAAATCTTGCTGCAGTTGAGGGCCGACAAATAATGCGTCATTCAGAGAATTCCCGGAAGACGATTTGGCGGACGCGTTGAAAACAACCCGAAGTTTTGTCGTAATGCTACTCTCCTTTATAACGGGATGATGCGGCATATAGTATGTTTGATTTAAGGTTTCTGACGCGATCTGCATATGATTCATGTCTATGAGTTCTTTCATAAACTCGTTGTAGCGCAAACGTAGGTCGGCGTCGCGAGCAAGTCTTCTTTCAAGGCGTAGCAAATTCTGGACGGCCAGGTCTCGCGAATCTCCCAACGGTACGTCGGGCTTTAACGGCAACTCGACGATGAATCGGCCAGTAGGTGCTCTTCGATGTGTTGTGTCGAAGTGGTCTTCACAGAAACGTTCTTCGTATGTAAGGTGCGTCTTTTGAGGTGCTTCCTCCAACTCCCACAATCTAGTCAAGGCTCGCTCTAAATGAACATCACAGTGCAGCGACTGCAAGCGTGGCGCAGTAGGCCCAGCGCCATGCAAGCTTCCAAACAATGTCCATCCAAAGACCGTTCGCTGAGTCATGGGGGTCCCGGGTGGACCCTTATGGAATTCCGCACAGACAAGTTGGTCCATGACGTCCATGCCAACCAATATGTCGATACGCCCCGGCTCCATAAACTGCGGATCGGCTAGAAACAACCCTTGGATATGCGGCCATGTTGAAACAGCTATCGTCTGCGTTGGTAAGTCGCTTGTAATTTTTGGTAAAATTAGTGCATTGACAGTGAAGCATTGATCGGAACAGTAAGAGGAAAGAGACAGTGATACCTCACCTCTAGCACGACCTCCTTGCGCTGACCCAATTCCAGTGATGTATACTTCGGACGATACTCGCGACAGACCCAAGCGTTGCACGCACGCCTCGGTTACAAAGGAGGCATGCGATCCGGAGTCGAAAAGTAACCGCGCGGGTTGCCAACGACCGGAACAATCACATACCTTAACTAACGCGGTAGAAAGCAGCACAACTCTTTCTACTGGAATGGGCGGATTGAAGTTGGAGTTTAGGCATGATGAAACGCATGCAGCGGCGGCGCTCGATGAAGGGTCGACGGTTGGTGAATCGTCTGCGTGCGGCGCGGCGTCGGCGGCAGCGTTCGATGATGCGTCAAAATCGAGTGAGCCGTTCGCGTTTACGTGTGACGCGGCGTCAACTGCAGAGAACGGATGGGACGGATTGTTGGAAAAGTGACTGGATGCGGTAACGGCTGTTGAAGTTACGGCACCATGCAACAGCGTGTGATGACGTTGGTTGCACACCCGGCAAGTGGAAGCACTGTTACACCGATCTTTATAGTGGCCCGAGCTGAGGCAATTTAAGCATACACGCGCTAGCTTCACGAACTTCGATTTTGCGGTTAAGTCCAGGTCACGAAACTTTTCACAGCCGTAAATCTTGTGAGGTCCATTGCAATAAGCACACGCGTTATTTTGTTCCGGTACCGCATGGAACACGTTCGTCGACTTGGTTGCTGATGCGGTTTTGACCTTGATTGGTGCAGGTGTTGCTGATGGCGGAAGCATGGATAGCGACCGACATCGTATCTCTAAAAATGTGGCTAATTGTTCGAATGACGGAGGCTCATCACTAACGAGTGATAGCTCCCACTGCTTACGCGTCTCGAATGCTAATTTATTCACGACCTCATGTACCAACCAGTCGTCCCAAAATTCAACTGGACGACCTAACGCTTTAAGCTCGCGAATATGCTGCTGAAACGCATCAATTACACCTTTGATTGCCTCGGCATTGTCGCCCGTAGCCCTTTTGACATCGGCCAACGCGCGAAGATGAACTTCCACAATTACACGCATGACTTTATACCGCGATTTTAGCAGCCCCCAAGCTTCAGCGTAATTCGCGTCACTTATTTTAAAACCGCTAATAATTTTTAACGCGTCACCCTTCAAGCAGCTTCGAAGGTAGTGAAGCTTTTGTACGTCCGACAGTGCCGAGTTACTGTCAACTAGCGAGGTAAACGCGTCGTAAAACCCGATCCATTCCGTAGAATCACCGGAGAATGCAGGCAGCTCCATTTTTGGTAGACGAATGGTCGCGGACACAGGCGTTGACATAATATTGGTTTGCGGTTCGGTGCGACACTTCTGTACGCGCTTAAAATTTGCTAAAGCCGTAGAGTACCAAGTCTCGGCTTGGATACGCACGTTTTCTTCGATGTCAGCATTATCAACACCACAAGAAATGTCTATTGCGTCTTGGGCAACGTTAAAACGAGCCCACTGTTCACCCAATAGCTGGAGGTAGCTCGTAACACTTTCCGTATCCATTGCGAATGCGTCATCAACACTTTTTGCCATATAGCGTTTAATGGCTTTGAGAGCGGAATCGCGCGTTTTAACAAAATTTGACATTGTTATAATTGACTTTGATGAGCCGTTCGTATGCCAAGATTTTAATAAACAGCCCTTGCAGAGTTCAAATGAAGGACAAAGCGGACTTCTAGAATTTTCGCAATGTCAACTGTAGGTCAAATGCGCAAACGCTCAAACGATTAAATGCACCAATGAATATTTCTTTTGACTTTATTGGAGTTAATTGCGGATTTCAACTATTATAAGCTTGCGGATTGCACTCGTTTAGCCTTTCAGCGGATGTTTACTTCTTTTTTACAAATTCACTCTATTGCACCTATGCGTATTTACCACGTATGTACATGCGTGTGTATGTACATATGCACGGGAGCAAAATGTATATATGTATGTATGCGCGGAGCGATAGAATCCGGCTCGAAGGACCAGTATGTTGCGGATATTAACCGACGAGAATAAGTCCAATTTCACGAAGAAATTAAATGCGATCTAATTTCTATGTACATACGTAAATTACTTTATTGCAACAATGTTTGTTACAGTAGCGAATTCAATATACATACATATACTCGTATATGCAAACTAAATAAATCTAATTAAGCGGCAGCGGGCGGAGCGCGAATAATGAAAAAACGACGTGATCACTAGTAATTGGAGATGATGATTAAGCAAATACAGATAGATAAAGGAACAGGTGCATAGCAAATAAGAAAATTAAGAAGTGTCAAAACGGTTAACTCTTATGCGGTGTCTCTACATTTAACCCTTATGCAAACATCTGCAACCAAACTTGTGGAAATGCTAAACTGAACTCAACAACAACTTTTTCTCAAAGCAAAAATTCCTATCGCATAATTTGCCGTTA